GCTATTTCCCAGCCATGTGGCACCTGCCCCACTTAGATATATTTACATTCCTTGCTTATAAACTCTTTGTGTCTGTTCTTTCACCTCTCCTGACATAAGTGCCAGGAGCTCTTAGAACTTCTTTTGCTTCAGATGTGGTGATTTTTTAAAACAATTATGATAATCATCATCCTCTCTTTTACTGGCTTGCACCTAAGCTATCTTTAGTCTTGACACTCATGTGTCACTTCTTTCTTTTTAGGTGGCTGGAAGTTTTCTTACCAAGTCTTCAACTTCCTGTTGTAATGTGTAATTTACCCTTAACTTCTGTAGTTTTTGCTTCATTCCATACTAAAGTGCCAAAACACAACTTTCGCTGTTGCATAATCCCTTTTACATCCTATGTAAGCTCCTTGTGCCCTTTTGGAAATGGGCTGGTTACTTCCCTAAATACTTTTCCTTCTTTGATTTAGGATGCAAATCTAAAATTCCTACCTTTGACTTAAAATTCTGAGGCTCTTCCATGTTTCAGTCTTTGGACTCTTCAGTCTATTTGATTTTATCAGTAAGTTCCTTCATTTTTTTTCTTCAAAAATTCTTCAAAATTTCTTTAAAATACATTCTACTACTCTTTATAAATATACTTTTTTTTAAAAGCAATAAACCTGTTTTTCTTCTCTTTATACTTGAATTGAAATTAAATTGCCTTCTGGCTCAGGATTATTTTATGCAATTAGTTCTGATAAGGTGGTAATTAGCCCCAATAAGGACATTTACAGTAAAGTCTAAGGTTCCCAGCCCATACCATATGAGCTATGCATTTCCCATCCCTGCCTTACCTCAAAGGTACTATCGTGGAGTCTCCTTCTCTGCAGATCTTCCAAACCCGCTTGGACGCAGTCCTGTGCCACGTGCTCTAGGTCACCCTGCGTGTGCAGGGGGGTTGGACTAGATGATCTCTAGAGGTACCTTCCAACCTTAAGCATTCTATGATTCTATGGCCATCCACAGGCTAATCCTTGACTCCTCCGCAGTACCCTTCTAGTCTCCATGTCAGTGTGGTGGCCGTCAGTACTTTCTGGGCAGCAGAGACATGTAGTGGGGTGCAAAGAGCCATGGGTACAACTCAATGGAGGCAGAGCCTGTCGCAAATCAGCTCTGACGCTTGGGATGCTATAGGCTCAGGTAAAAGGGTTTCCAGCAGGTCTGGACTCAGTTTTTATGTTCCGTTTCTTCTTTGTTCATCCCTCAAGCTGTGCTGGTAGCCACTTCTTGAGATTCTTTCCCAGCCTGAAAGAAGAAAAGACAAAATTCCAAAACTTCTGTTATGATCCTCCATGCTGCCTTGCCAATGTCTAGTCTGTATGTATGTTTTTAACCAAGATAAAAGCTATCAAGAAATTAAATTTCTGATTATTGAGAAATTCTTTATGGACCAATGCTGGAGGACCTCAGTAATCACTCAGCAATGTCGGGTCTGACTGAGAGGCAAGGTGATTGTAGCAACACAGGGCAATTCCCACCAGTGTGGCCAAAGCTGCCACCATGCCTGATGTGAGAGTGGGAGGGGAAGTCAGTTAAAAAGCAAAATGCATCAGGAAGCTTTTGTGTATGAGACTCAAAAGCCAAAAAGCCAATGCTGGTTTTCTTCAGAGGACTATGTGGTAAACTATCAGGCCACTGAGAATTGATGGCAGGTAAGCATGCTGTTTGGAATCAGAAAACCAAGCTTTTAGCTGGAAGCTTCAACAACGCCACCTCTGCTTGTGCGTGTGTTTGAAACAAGGAGGACCGTGCATTTATCTGGTGTGTGTTCCAGTCTGGAAACTGTAAATTGTAAATGCCAGAAGACTTGGATTAAACAGATAGAAGTGCCTAAGAATTATGGTGGTGCACATGAATGTACATCATGGATTATCAAGGGAATAGTGTTGATTTACATTACTTGCAAATGCTTGTGGCAGTTTGAACTTCCAATCTCAATATTTCTGAGCTTTGCTGAAGCCTTAGCGAAAAGGGGCAAGTTTGTTCATTTTAAAGATTTTTGCCTCTACAGAGAGAGGAATGCAGTGCCAAGTGCTGACAGAGGAAGATAGGGCGTCTGGAAATAAGCCAACAGTCCTCCTGTTCCCAGTCAATATTTCCCAAATGAAGCAAGTTTTGATAAAACGTGGTGTATCTTCAGCTTACTGAAACAAATAAGAGGCCTGGTATACAAGATGAAGTTAATGATGGTTTCGATCCACTGCTGTGTGTCATGCCAGCCCCATTGCTGGTTCCTCTGGCTCCACAGTGATTCACCACTATCTTGTAAAACAGGCAACACTGGCACTTTGTTAGTCACCTGGCACTGACTTGCTCACTCTGGACAAGCAGCAGATTTACTGCTAAGCAGAAACTAGATCTTCCCTTTCCTGGAACCTGGGAAAACCACAGTCAGGCCGCAATGTGTAAAGCTACAATTGGCTTTTTTTCGTTCCTAAAAGTCGCCAGGCCAAAACAAAAAGCAAAAACATGCAAAAGGAGAAAGCTTTGTGATTACATGGTTAAGAGATTATGCCCACCTTCTTCTGTTACTTTTTCTCTTATCCAGTTGTAAACTGTAAAGTGCTATGCTTTTTTTTTTTCCACCTGCTTTTTCTGTGCCCCTGGATCTACACCTAGTTACTTAACAGTTAACACAATTGCTGTTCCATATCCTCCCTCACAGCAATTGGAGCATTCCTGTGGTTTTGGTCGCAGGCTGTTCTTCCTGCCTTATGGAGGCAAGCACCACCAGCACTAAGAGATACTCCTGGGGCCCCTTGGTACCCACCTGCTCTGCTTCTGCAAACGCTGCTCTCCCAACCACCCATGTGCTTTTCTTGCATGGTCACTTCCTCCAATCACTTTCCTCAGCCCTGTTGTCCCCACATCCTTTGATTTATTTAACCAAAGTGAAAAGAAGGCATAGTCTACAATGAGAAATGCATTAATGAAAGCCTGACACAAATGAACAAAAAAACTTAAACTTTTGATGTATATGCCACAGCTTCTTTAAAATCTTTCCAATTCCCTAGGTTATGATGCTAATCCTAAGGCAATATCCCAAGGATTTTACACAAGAAAATCAGGAATTCAACTTTAAAAGGTGTTTCTAACCTCACACCTAATTGATCTGGGTGTAACAGCACTGAAGTGAGCAGAGACCTATTGTTAAACTGGTGTGAGGTCCTTTAAGGGTTTTGCCTTAGGCATTGGCTCTTAATTGCAAATCTGGTCTTGCTATATTGCAGTCTTCTGGCAATGTAAAACATACAATTCAGAAAGCTCCGAGATGGAAAGCAGCTATTTTTCTCCCTCAGTCATTGATTATGTGGTTGCTTCCCAGTAGTATGTGTATATTTTTTTCTTCATTTTTCTTAGCTTGCCCTAACAGCTATCTATTGCTTTATTTGCCAGACTGACGTATAATCCACCTGGATCAAACTCACTTGCAGTGGAAAGAGGCTGGATTTTTTTTCTGGTGTACTCTGAGTACTGCAGCTCTACAAATAGACAATGTATTGGCATTCTGTATATGGAAAGAGGGGAGGGGAAGGAATAAGAGCACCAGAGGAAGAAACTCCAGAAGATGCAGGAGCATTTGTGTGTGATGTGAAGGCTGGGAGGACTCAGTTGACCTTGGGCCTGTGAGTCTGAATAGGACAGAGAAGGTAACTGTGGAAAGCAGAAGCGGAGAGAGTGGGAGAAGAAAATTAAGGAGCTTACTGTGGGCTTTCTTAAGACTGAACTGGTGATAGACCACCCAAGGTGACCACCCAAGAATAAATCAGAGTAGGAGAGGGCATCTTGTACACAGCACTGTAGGACAGACCTGTGGCCATGCAAGACTCTTCATGTCACCCATAATCAATGTACCAAGCTACAGAGAAGACCCTTTACAGTATGTACATATATATGTACAAACACTTGCGTGATGAGCTGAGAAAGGGAACACACCGAGCAAGAAAGAAAGCCCTCCCCTCACCAGCTTTTGCCATGGAAGGCCAGGAAGAGCAGGGGATCAGATGGGGGACACTGAAGACTGGAGAAACTCAAAGAAGTCAAGGCCAGAGCAAAGATCTAGAATCTGCCAAAAAAGGTGTATGTTGGTTGCATGGGATCCAGCGCGAAACTTGAGAAAATCAGCCTGTTTAGAGTGATTAGATGCAAAGGAAAAGAACAGCAATGAGAAATATTTATATAAAAATAGCTCAGTGGTTTTGCTTCTCATTCTTTATCCACACATTCCTCCCAGAATAGCCAGATAATTTTCACCCAGCTCCTTAGCTGGGCACCTTAGTCACCACAGTGTCATTTAAGCTGATTTGCAACCAGGTTAAAATTCAAACAGAGATGTCAAACACAAACAGTTCATAGACCCATCTACACAACAAATGTGATGTATTACAAGCCCATCCTCCAGTTTGGCTATAGCACAAGGAAAAGAGCACTCAATTTGCCTCATTCAGCACCAGTTCCCTGCATTCATGTGGCTTTTATTATTCTCTTAGTCTCACTTATACACCTTACTTCTCTGCTCTGCTGCGTTCGGAGGTTTTCCTTCACTCTGTTTAATATTAACTACTTGGTCTTCCAATATGGCCAGTTAACAACGCCAGATGAAGACAAAGTGTGGTGATGCAAAATCCTGAGCAGGTCTTGTCAGTTAATTCAACCTGAATTTCTCTCATTTTCCCCTTGCCCCAGCATGAGCTGGCCAAGAGCCTCTCTGAATGGACAGCTTTCCTGCACAACCAATCCGTTCCTTGGCAGACTGAATACGTAGGAAAAACTCACCGGTGGGTTCTGCAGTGCAATGAGCATGTATGTGCATGGCTAGGCTGGAGAATGAGGAAACACACATGATAATTTCTGCTTCTATCTTCCAATGCATAGCTTTTCTCTATATGTATTTTAAGTTCCGTCTGAAGACAATCTACTTCTTGTCAGCCCTTGCTAAGACTGTACAAACAGAAAATGGAAAACCCCATCAAGTGATGAGTACCTACACGCATACCTTCCCTAAAATTGAAGAGCTGGTCATCGCTGTGAGTAAGGGTCTCGTAGCTGATGATCCACGGTGATCACCAGACTGGAATGTCACTAACAATACCTTTTTTCCACCTGAAGGCCATTTTACTGAGAGATCACAGAAAAGGCTGATTTTTTGACATCCACCAGAATTAGGAACCTTATGAATTCTGCCTAGCAGCATTTCTGACCTTATTGTAAGGTGCAGAATATTTGACTGAGGACAGGAGTCTGACCAGAGAAATCCCGCTCTGGTCCTCACAGCTGCAGATGGCGAGAAACCCAACTTCTCCTCCTAGCCCACGGCCATGCTCTTGGCTGGGGCAGCACCCAGGACTGCAGGGGAGCCACAGGTGCTTTGGACATGGCCCAACCCTGGCTTAGGACACGCCAATGACGCTTGGCACGGTGACATGGAAATACTGGCGTGACAGACGCAATACGGCTCTTAACCTCAGACAGATTACGTGTGTCCTGCAGCCCTCAGATACCTGGCAGAGGCACAGTGGCACAAACATTTGGGTGATAGACTGCAAAACGAGGTTTCCCCTTCCCCAGCCTGAGGGAGTGGCTTCGAGACATGCGGGAAGAGTGTTCGGGGACCGCCCCGGGCCGGCTACGTCAAGGCAGCAGGGCGACCTGCCGCCAGG